GTAATTATATATCAACACTTGTTCAAGGATAACAGACTAAATCTATCAAACATATTCATTCTTTTTGTCATCTTCAGTGATCCGAAGTTTTGATGTTCTGCTAACGCGTCAGCAAACGTCTGATCTGCAAAGAAGACGATACTCAGACACTTGGCAATGATGATACATGTTATCATCGCGACACAGGACTTGGGGCTAAGGTAGTTAGTGGAGTAGTCTCAGAGTCTGCGTAGTACTGGTACTGCGAGTCGACACATGAGCATCATGTAACCTCTGTAGTGTCAGATGGATGACGTTATTACAATCTCTGCAAAGTTTGATTATTGCTCCACGTTCATATATTTAATTGTTGTAGATGCATCCTCGGTGTAGCACAGCATCTTGCATGCCTTCAGTGAAGACTAAGTTGCCTACTTGTCTAAGCATCCGCTCCACCCCTTCGATTCACTTGCTCCGAAGACTGTGCGAATCGTTGTGGCTAGAGGGAAGGCGCGTAATAATGCTATCGGTCGACTCATAAGCTCGGGACGTACAGAAAGTGGTTCATGTTCCGACTTGCCTGTGCGGCATGTGGTAACAAACGGAGTGATGCCAATGTAACGACACGCCGTTGTTTACGCCTTTAGGTCATTGATCCGCTCCATAATCACGAACAGACAAGAAAAGCTAAGCTGCTGCTAGTGTATGTGAAACAGCCTGTGCGCCTTGAAAGGTGCTCCTTAGGCTGCCGCTAGATACGAAGACTGAATATAGTGGATGTGTGGTAATTATCGAGATCGTGAGCTATAGTCAAGCAGAGGATATGGTCAAGATCCTGATCGGCAAGTCGCCCGGCATTAAGAGTCTGCGGTCTCTTGTAGAGCTGCCAGCCGGATGTCCGAGAGAAAGCTGAGTATTCCCTACAGGAGGCTTGGAAGTTGCCGCATTCGATGCTGATGGTGTCTGCTCAGTGCGCCAACAATGCCGTGGAAGGCAGTGTGCTCGTAATCGCAGCGGCCGAGGCTAAAGAACATGACTTAACACTCAAAAGGCTACAGACGAATGAGGCATATTAAATGCGCGTGCCCAAAAAACGTAGGAAGAGGAAAGAGGCACACGTACACCCCATCCCCTAGACTGAGAATGATCACCTAGTCCACTCTTTGTAGCCTCTCAATCTATGCCCAGCTCGCACAATATTTAAGTGTCCGTTTGTCGGAAATTGGTTTGTAGCACCAGAGACGTCCTATGATGTTGTCTTCCTGACCCAATAGGGTATTACACAACCAGTGCTTGCGCTCACGCGTCTTTTCCGAAGTCGTTTTTTCTTTTTATTTTCCGCAGTTATCCGGCTCCCACTCACATAATCGAGACACTACACACAAAATAGATAGGTGAGGGAAAGAGCAAGTTAGGCGGCACTCGCGGCTGTCAAAAAAACCCGACGTGGTGGCTGTTCGCTTGAAACTGTGACAGCTTTTTGGCGCGCCGTTGTCGCCATATGTGAAAGTGTAAAGTGGTAATGACTTGCATTATAGTCGAATAATTCAAACGGGACTGTTGCCCCCGCCAGTAAGAGAGCAACTCTAGATGTTTGTTACTTCGCTCATGCGTGTTAACTTGATCTTGGGAGACAAGTTTTTTTATTGTATCTGCGGCCGCCTATTACTCTTTTCATATAAAAGTCTGATTTTCCTGTTCCGTGTTATTTTCCCACTCCGCTAACTTTTTCTATCTTCCAGAAGAGGCCGAAGCTCACAAATGCAATTATTGTGCGGCGACTCGCTTTTCTCTACTGAGCAGTCGGTTGGCAATACAGCTCGTGGCGGTTTCCACGAGAGATGGTCTATAGCACTCTAGAGGTAAGTATAATAGTACTCGCGTTCGCTCGTTTATTAGCCGTGTTTTTTCGTTCGGCATCGTAGCAGTCAGGGGACGCCCGCAGTATAAGTCAACGCGCGTTGTCTATAGACGGGGAAACATTCACGCACGCACAAGAAGCCCGCTAAGCCCAATACAACTCATACCGAGTCTGTTGGCCGTCTGACGTAGACATTACGTGCACTAACTAACCTCTCAACTGCTGTAATCAAATATGTTAAAGTTATGTATATAAACAGTTGCAGAGTCTGTTGAAGATGGTCTTTTACTATGTCACCTTAATCACAATGGTACATGCCTCGGTCAAACTGGACATCCCGATTGGAATTATTCGTCAGAAAATTACGGCAAACGCATACTTCGGGAACCTAAGAGTGTAGTTAGTCCAGCCCGTCCCCCGCCACCCATCCTTTCCCCCCGGTCCCACACGGCCCTCCATTCCATACCGATCGAACACGCGACGATATGAGCTCGCCTCTGATCTTCGAGAGAGGTCGATACCAGGAGAGCATAGCGCCGAGTTTGGAGGACCGTAAAAAACGCGATTGTGTTGTAATTTGAAGGCTGAATACTGGGCGAAATTGCTGGGTCTAATTGCGCAGCACTAATAGCCGTGCTTAATCCGCGCTGCCTTAATGACTCGTGCCACACAGAGTGCTGATGAAAGCAGTAAAATGAAGACAGCGTGCCAAGTGTGAGAGGAGCTTTACCGGCAGGGTCTTGGTGTGCCACTGCCGACGCCCATGATAAGGCGAGTCTTGCCAATGTCGGTTCACGTATAGAATGCCCAAACGGTGCCATCCACGGTCTTGAAAGCGTGTTTAGTGAGGTACTTCTGAGAATGACTTAGTCAACGATGGTGAAGACCCGGGTCAAGGTATAAGACTGTCTCGTCTTGGATGCTTGTACTAATTGCTTTAAGAAACCTAGATGCTGCTGGACCGGCAGGTGAGAGATAGACGAACCTAGATACAGTTGACACAGACACTAGATGAATAATTTTAAAGGGGCCTAATCGTTCGATTCTTGGTTCTTTAGTCGATAGCTACTGTGGTA